TACGTTCTTACCATCAGACAAAACCTGCCCCGCTAAAGGGTGACTCAGAATGGAGGAAAGAGGAATTGGTGGGTAAGGGGAACCTATTTAAATCTGGAATTAAGACAGAAGAACATCTCAAATTGTGGCTGCAGAATATAAACGTTACAGACAAACATGCTGTAAAAATAAAATAGCGAAATGGAGAGCTGGCAAGGAAAAACGTGCTGGGCAACTAGCTCTCCTGAGACAGTGTCAAGAGATACTGATTACATTTAGAACATGGTGTTTTAAAACACAAGGCCTCTAAACTATCGGATACATGCAGAGGTGTGACGAGATAATGGACTCCCCCTGGAATTTCTAACAGATCAGCATGCCAGACACAGATACTGGCTTCTCCACGACCCCCACACAGATACTGACTCCTTCCTGAATACCTTGCTGACCCCCTGCAGCTGAAACTTCCTCAGCTGAATACCTCAGCTCATATCCCCACCCCTCACCCAACCGCAGTATAAAAAAAGCGCCCCCTCCCTGTTGGCGTGAATCCACGTGCCCTGCCTTTTGGGGTACGTGGGTCTCCCGGGGACGCAGAAATAAACCTTTCCTTTCTTTCTTTTCTGACTCACTCGACTCTTTATTTCTTATGCCGCCTCCTGAGCCACCTAACCTAACAATAAGCCCGGCCGGTGTAGCTAGCTCAGTGATTGAGCGTCGATCTATGAAGCAGGAGGTCACGGTTGGATTCCCAGTCAGGGCACATGCCCGGGTGGCAGGCTCAATCCCCAGTGTGGGGCGTGCAGGAGGCAGCTGATCAATGATTGTCTCTCACCATTGATGTTTCTATCTTTCTCTCCCTCTCCCTTCCTCTCTGAAATTGAAGCAGGAATTTGGGGGAACATAGGCAGGCTTAGGGTTTTTTTTAGAATTGGGGTCCATGGAAAAACACAGGGCTGCAGACTGCGAGAAGGTACATTTCCATAATGCAAGGAAGCCAGGTGCAGTTACATCTCCATAAGACAGGGGAGCAGCAACAGTTGCATTTACATAAGACAAGGGAACTGGAAGTATCCCAGAAAGGTCTACATTTACAAAATAAAGAGAAGGAAGCCCTTCATCCAGATGGAAAAGAAGAAAGCCCAGAGGAATGGAAGGACTATGAGGGAGGAGGGCCTTAGGAATCACTATAGTAACCAATTCGAAGGGGAATATTGACCAATCAGAGAGGATATCAGGACCCAGGAACTGCAGCCTTTATAAACCACAGGGGAAAGGAGCTCAGTGGGACTCTTTTCCCCCTCCCTACGTGGGAGTCAGTTTTGTGGGACTCTTCCCCCTCCCTACGTGGGAGTCAGTTTTGTGGGACTCTTCCCCCTCCCTACGTGGGAGTCTGTACTTGTTCTTCAGTAAATCTCCACCTTTGCTATATCACTTTCTGTCCGTAGATTCATTCTTCGATTCCGGTGGACAAAGAATCCGGGTTCCAGTCCAAAAATTTGGTATCAAAATCAATAAAAATATATTTTTTAAAAATAAGCCATTTCCTTGTGCCCAGTGGCAGTTTACAAATAACGAGGGCCCCTTGCAGTGAGGCAACTGAGGCTGGGGGCCTCTGGGGGACCTGGACTTCTGGTTGGAGGAGAGCTGTGGAGTTCCTCCACTTCCTCCTCCAGCAGTGCAGCACCCAGGGGCTAGGGAGGGGTTCAGGCTCCTGGTCATCTCAGCCCCAACCCACCTGGAAGGAACATGATGGGAGCACCACACACTTGTCAGGGGGCCCGGCCCCCAGACGGCAGCCCCCGCCCAGCAGAACCCTGGGCCGCAGTGATGGCAGAGCCCTGTGCAGGGGGCTATCAGTCCCATGTGGCTGCCTGGAGGAGGTGAGCCTCCTGAGGCTCCAGCAAGGGGACAGGCCCTGGAGGGAGCCAGGGAGGTGGCTGGATCAGCTTCCTAGGGGGTCAGGGCTGGCGGTCCCCACTGCCCCCTTTCAGACCAAGGCAGAAGGAAGAAAACCTTAGAGACCCACGTAGTCTCTTGCCAGGGGCTGGATTTCCAAATCGAAGGAGCCTTGGGGTGTGAGGTTCTGGGGGATGGAGGCCCTCGAGGGCCCTCCTGAGTCTGAAATAGAGCCCAGTCCAGGCAGCCTGGGGAAGGACCATGTGAGGGCTGGTGGGGTTGGAATTGGGCCTCAAAGGACCCAGAATCCTGGAATTTTTACAACCTGTTCATGATAGGATCTAGCATTTATTTTATTTTATTTTAATCTTTTGTTCTGCTTACAAAAGTAACTTGAGCTTGAGCTGAAAAACATTACACAATGTTGTGAGTGAAAATCACTGGGGACTGGGCCCCAGGCAGAAGAAGTCACAGCCAAGTTCACGGAGCCATCAAGGACGCCGTGCCTGCAGTCGTCAGGGTTACGGAGCCTCGCCGGGCCCCACAGAGGACTCCTCCCCGCCCTCCGTGGGACTGGGAGCTGGCCCCTCTGCCAGCCTTCCGTCTTCTTTTCCTTCTGGAAGAGAATGGGGTGGGTCAGGAGGGCTCAGAGGAAAAGGGAGGGGTGAGGGTGTGGCACAGACCCGAGTCCCTGAGCTCTCAGCCCACCAGGGGATGACCTGGGCACCACTGACCGACTTCGAAGATTGCCAACGCCAGACATACGCTCCCAAAGGCCACAGAGGCTGCTAAAGTCATTTCCAGGAAACTCTGGGCCAAATCTGGGCTGAGGACTAGGAAGCTGCTGCTGCCACCAGTGACTGGCCAGGGATGGAGCAACGTGTGTGTGTGTGTGTGTGTGTGTGTGTGTGTGTGTGAGTGATGGCAGCCGAGGGGGTTGGTGACTGCTGGAGACCTGCCTAAGGGAGCCTGTGGGGCAGAGAGACACCCGTCGTCTGCCCTCCATCTCTCCACCTGAGGAAGGCTGGCTTTTGTTCGAATCCTCACAATAGCGTGTATGGGCTAGAGCCTATCTGGCCCAAGAACCTGGGCAGATGCCCAAGCTGAGGTCTCAGAGAGGGTGGAAAAGGCCCTGGAGCTGACCCAACCCAATGAGTTGAGCGGGAAGTCTCTGAGCCAGATGTCCCCCCTTCACCCTCTGCAGGGATCAGCTGGTGGCCTCAGGGTAGTAACTTGGCCTCTGAACCCTGCTTCCCAACAGGTCACAGGACAGCACCCTCCACCCCCTGGGCTGGCAGGAAGAAGCAGGTATACATACACATGGAGGCCCTGAACCAGAACTGGCTGGTGGAAGCGCTCACAGGGTACACTGGGCACACTGCAGAGGGGCCTCCAGGTTCTGGGGAGATGGGGTCCCCAACTCCCTGATTACAGCTCCTATCCAACAGGGGATGGAGGTGAGGGGTTCCTCAGGCCTGTAGCTGGGGTGTCCCATCTCAGGAGCCTTAATGTCTCAACCTTGGGGAAGTAGTGGGGCCCCCCACCCCTGACCTCAGAGCACTCACCACTGTTTCCATCAGTGCGGAGGGGTCCCTTGTACTGCCCAGCTACCTGGTGGAAACCAAGAAGCTTTGGCTTCCCTTTCCCGGGACTGGCTACCAAGCCGAGTGCCCTGACTGACGCCAAGAGGCCCCTGTTCATACGCAGCAAATAGGCCCAACTGCTGTGGCTTTTATTTTCTCTATCTTCTCAGGGCTCAGCAGACCCTGTTTCTGGTTGGGAAGAAACCTCAGCTCATCTCCTTCCCAGTTTCTAGGCATCCCCTCCCCCAGGCGTCCCTCAGGTTTCCAAGTTCCACTGTCACCAGCACCAAGCCTGGCAATCCAAATAGACTTGCCACAGAAACATGCACACACAGACCGCCCCCCCCCCCGCCCCCGAACACATAAATACAGAAATACACAAGAGCAGGCAATGGACAGCCCTCGCCAGTTGCTCACTGGTTAGAGCATCAGCTCTCAGACAGAAGGGCCGTGGGTTCGATCCCCCTTCAAGTACACATACCTTGGTTGCAGGCTCGATCCCTAGTCCGGGTCAGGGTGTGTGCAGGAGGCAACCAATCAATGTGTCTCTCTTACATCAATGTTTTCTTTTCTCTCTCTCCCCCTCCTCCCTCCCTTCCATTCTCTCTAAAAATCAGTGGAAAGGGTGAGGATTTAAAAAAAACAAAACAAGAGCAGGCATGGACAGAAATAGGCCCAGGGACATGGACACACAAGGACACACACATAGACATACCTTCCCAAATACATATGTAGACACAGAACCCCAGACACACATGCATGGAGGCTATAGACTCGCAGAGAAGAGAGACTACATGCCGACACGCTCACAGCACGGGCATGCTCTTTCTAGAGCCAGCCAGGCCTGTCTGTCCCCTCGGCTGTGCGGTGTCAGGGGACTTGCAGCCCCAGGGAGGTCTTGCTCGGTTTTGCTCGCTGGGACGAGGGCCTCACCTGTGTCCAGCTTCCTGCGTTTCTGCTCAGGCTCCGGGGGGGCTGCCTCAATGGCACGCTGGGCCTCGGGATGGATCTTGAGGAGGGCCTTGGCCAGGGTGGTGGGGGCGGGCACCCCCAGGGACATGATGCAGTGCACGCCTCTGCGCTTGGCTGCAGCCACTTTGTCACTGTCCTTGGACGCTGTCAGCAGCACCAGTTTGGAGAACTTCCTGGGCTTGGGCTTCCTGGGAGCTGAAGGGACGACATCTGTGCCCGGCTCGGGGGACTGTGGGGACGGCTCCTGGCCGGCCTTCACACTCTCGCCCTCCTGTTCGCTGGGCTCAGGCAGGGGCATTGTGGGACCAACGGCCTGTCCCCCAGGCCACACTCAAGCTCCAGGAGACGGATTTCTCCTCCTGATTCCTGGCAAGGAACCTGGCAGTCCAGGGGCTCTGTCCTAAGGAAGAAAGCAAACCCCCATCAGTGAAGCCTGGGCTCAAGGAGAATGGATCTGGGGCGCAGTTTGGGCAGATGGGGCACCAAGATGCCCAAGGACCTGAACAGAGCTGGAGAAGCCTGGGCCGGTGCTTCTGCTTGGCCAGCTCCTCTCTTCGCAGCAGTGAGCATGTCACCTCCTCCATCCAAACCTCACTTCCCCACGTGTAAATGTGCTTTTACAATTAAGTCCTGCCCTTGGGGGGGGGGGGGGAGGCTGCTGGGGATTAAGATACTGATAACTGAGTTACTACAAATCCAGGTGCGTGGGTGCTGGGCCTGAAGCAAAGTGTTTCGTGGTTTTTTCCATTTAAGCTTTCAGCCACATGTTATGAAAGTCCGCCATTCTCACTGACCCAGGTTACAGACGAGGACACTGAGCCTGCCAGGGCGACCAGCACAGCCATGAAGCGGCAGAGCTGGGAGGCCAGCTGAGGCCGAGCTGGAGCCCACCCCACACGGCGCCTGGCGTGCCTTGTCCAGGATAACAGTCACCGGCGTTCCTGAGCACCACGCATCAGAGACAAGCACTGGGGACATGAGCTCAGCTCACTGACCTTCCCAGAATCCCCGCGCCCTCTCACCCTGACACTCTGCAGACCACAGAGTTCCTGGCCCTGAGAGGCGTGACTCTCTGGACTCACAACTAGAACCTGTGCCCACCCCAGGCGGGAGGCCTGGGCCACCCAGAGCTCAGGAGGTGCCAGGGGTGCTTTCATAGTCCATGAAGGCAGCGATCTGACCTTGTGCTTGATCTGGTGCTCCACTGCCTCGGCTGGGTGGGGATAGGGCTGTGAAGCTGTCCAGAGAATCTGTGGTCACTGAGGGCTCCCTGGCTTCTGGCCTGGAGAAGCATAAAGGACAGATTACGGGGACCAGGCTGGTCTGAAGACCATGGCCCTGGGCATAAGCATGGGGTGGCCTTTTTTGTTTTGGGGGCAAGTAGGTGGTGAGCAGATGGCAGGTCTTCCCAGTTTACCGTGTTAGCCCAGAACTAATGCTGCAGCCTGGGGAGACTCTTGCCTGCCCTGCCCAGGACCAGGCTGCAGCAAAGCCCACACATGCCTACTTGCACCCTCCGTTCTCACTGTTTCCTTTTTCCTGTGTCCTCACATGGTCTTCCCTGTGTGTCTATACCCTAAAGGCCCTTTCCCTAACACAGCCACATTGTGAGGTCCTGAGTGTTAGAGCTTCAACACATGGGTTGGGGGTAGGCACAATTCAGTCCACAGCAGCACAGAACACGGTGAGCGCCTAATAAATCATAGCGTGTGGTGTCTCTATATCTCGATCCCAAACTTCCATGCACGTTCAAACCGAGAGCATGTCCCGGATGGCAGGAGTGCGCGGGGCCTGCACGTGACACTAGGACAGCGGTTCTCAACCTGTGGGTCGAGACCCCTTTGGCGGTCGAACGACCCTTTCACAGGGGTCGCCTAAGACCATCCTGCAGATCAGATATTTACATTACGATTCATAACAGTAGCAACATTACAGTTATGACGTAGCAACGAAAATAATTGTATGGATGGGTCGCAACCTGAGGGACTGCATTGAAAGGGCCAGAAGGTTGAGAACCACTGCACGAGGGATTATTTACTCAGTGGGGAGCCCTCAAAACCAGCTGGATCTTCACACAAAATGCCACCACAGTTCCAAAAAGCTCTGCCTGTCACCCAGGGGAGCCAGACTACGCTTATATGGATTTTTTTTTTCATCATCCAAATTTTAGGGTCATCATCCAAATTTTAAAAATATGAAAAATGCTTGTAGAACCACCTTTCATCCAAGATCTACCCATTTTGAAAACATTCCTGCACAATAAACCAGCTCCTCTACTCGGCTGACACCCACTCTTTAATTTAATCCGGATTTAGTTTTCTAACCAAAAGGAAAAGCAATGAGATAGGTTATATTGAGGTTATTCTGAAATATTTAAATGGAAAAAAGGTAATATTGGATTCTTTAAACAGTAAATAGGAAATCCTGCATCCTCCTATCACAAACTGCTTTCATTTCTGCATTGTTTTCTACATACATCTTTTTTCAGAGCTACAAGCAAAGCTTTCGAATAATCGTATTTCCTGCTTTCTTTCCATTTATTAGGGTAGAAACCACCAGTTTAGAGACCAGATGGAAAGACCCCTAGAGAGTGCCAGAACACAATTTAACTTACCCTGTAAGTGTAGAAAATTCAATTTAAACTTTAAGCAGCAGTATTCTAGAAGGCCACAAGATAGTGATGTTGCTCCTTAAAATGAGCCATTTTTTCAAGATAAAAAAAGAGGACATAAGGGGTAAAAAAAGATATGAAAGGTTTTAAAGTGTTTCCATTTGTGCCCTACCTGGTTTGGTTCAATGGATAGAGCGTTGGCCTGCAAACTGAAGGGTCCCAGGTTCGATTCCGGCCAAGGGCACATGCCTGGGTTGTGGCCTTGATCCCCAGTAGGGGGCGTGCAGGAGGCAGCCAATCAATGATTCTTTCTCATCATTGATGTTTCTATATCTCTCTCCCTTCCTCTCTAAAATCAATAAAATATACTTTAAAAAAAGGTATCTACAAATAAATAAATAAAAATAAAGTGTTTATATTTGGCTTACAAAAAAGCATTGTTAGAAAGTCCAGTAAACACATTTAGCAAAGATGATCTTTTCTAGGCTACACAACTGTGCATTTTTCAAAAAAAAAAAAAAAAAAAAAGACCAAGAACTTTGATCCCTGTCCTGTGTCTTTCTCTCTCAATCCACTCGTCTTTCCTTTTATTTATTCTCCATTCCAGTACATTCTCATGTACTTACTAATTTTATTTGACCCATTCTTAACTTAAGAAGCAGGTGCTTTCTAGTCTGTTTTCAAAGAATTATGTTAAAATGCACTACAGGTAACTAAGAAGCATTCATTAAAATGTTAGCAGTGGTGGGAATGAGGGATTTCATTTTTGCTCATTTTCTATTTTTTAATAATTTCCCCCAAATTGTAACATGCATGAACTAATTTTACAAGGGAAAATATTTAACATTAAAAAACATAAGATAGCCGAAACCGGTTTGGCTCAGTGGATAGAGCGTCGGCCTGTGGACTGAAGGGTCCCGGGTTCGATTCCGGCCAAGGGCATGTACCTGGGTTGCGGGCACATCCCCCAGTAGATGTGCAGGAGGCAGCTGATCGATGTTTCTAACTCTCTGTCTCTCTCCCTTCCTCTCTGTAAAAAATCAATAAAATATATTAAAAAAAAAACAAAACAAAAAAAACATAAGATACATTTACCAAGATGGTAATTTTCCTTTTAGTCTACTACTTTAGAAAAAGTCTCCATTCCTATGCCACATAATGTCATGTAAGAAAATAAAGATTAATATAAACAACTAGAATTTAAAATGAATAAAATTAAACTAGAGAGAGAGAGAGAGAGAGAGAGAGAGCACACACACCCTGCCCCTCCAGCACTCCTGTCCATGTCCAACATTAAAGTGACCTGCCCAGAGCCATGTGGTTGGTCCTCAAGCTGAGATCTGAGCCAGGAACAAAAATCCTATGACATCAGCCCATATCTCCAGAACAATCTTCCTTCTAAATGTCACCATCACCCCCACTCTGCCCTGGGAAGACTGAGACTCCAGGACTTAAGTAAGTGGCTCCAGACAGCAGAGCTACCAGCAGCGAAAATTTGAACCCAGGCCTGGCTGGTCTGCCCTGAGCAGCTGTGGCTTAAAGTGAAAAATGCCAGTTACAGAGGAAACTGCATGCAGGACTTCGGAGTAAGTCCTCAGGATATAACCCAAAGAATAAAATAGGTATCCATAAGCCCACACTGACATAAATGGGGGAGAAGGGACAAATCCTTACGAAGAATTCCAAAAACACTTCCCCTTTAGGAGGTGAAGGTTAAATCCGACCCTTGATACGGGGGAAAGAATAGACTTTTCACAAATGTCGAATGGTGGGACAATTAGATATCCAATACAAAGGAATGAAGATGAACCCCCTCCTCACACCATATACAAAAATTAACTCTAAATAGATCATAAAAGCTAGCTATAAAACTCTTTTTTTAAAAGATAGCAATAAGTCTTCATGAACTTGGATTGGCAGCTTTTTTCAATATGACACCTAAAAGTACAGGCAACCAAAGAAGAAACAGATAAATTGAAAAAAAATTAAAACTTTTGTGAAGGATACTGTCAAGAAAGTTAAAAGAGTGTGGTGCAGTTGCTTGGGCATTTCCTGTGCACCAGGAGATTCCCAGTCAAGGGCACATGCCGCAGTCTCAGGGGTTGTGCAGGAGGCAGGTGATTCTTGTGCTCTCACATCGATGTTTCTCTCTCTCTCCCTCTCCCTTCCTCTCTCTCTAAAAACCAATAAACTAATTTATTGTTATTAAAAAAATTTTTTGGTTAATCCTCACCTGAGGATATTTTTTCCATTGATTTTTAGAGAATGGAAGGGAGGGAGGGGGATGGGAGAGGAAAAGAGGAGGAGAGAGAGAGAGAGAGAGAGAGAGACCAATGTGAAAGACACATTAACTGGTTGCCTCCCACATGTGCCCCAACCAGGACTGGGGATGGATCAAATCTGCAACCCAGGTATGAGCCCTTGACCTGGAATGGAACCCATGACCCTTTGGTCTGCAGGTCAACATTCTAACCACTGATCAACACTGGCCAGGGAGGTGGGGGGAATCAATAAATTATTTTTTTTAAAAAGAAAGTTAAAAGGTAACCCACAGAATGGGAGAAAAATTTTGCAAATTACATATTTGATAAGGGTCTTGTATCTGGAATTTATAAAGAACTCTAACTCTGAAATAAAAAGGCAACCCAATTTAATAATCAGCAAAGGCTCTGTATTGTTCTTTCTGAAAAGAAGATATACAAATGGTTGTTAAGCACATGAAATGTTCCACAGCATTAGCCAAATGGGAAATGCAGAACAAAACCACAATGAGATACTACTTAACACCACTGGGATGCACATCAGTCTCTCTTCTGGACTCATCCCCACCCTTCTGGAAATTTATTTTCTAGGTGTAAAGGAAAGGACTGAGGGGCAGCTACTTTAAGCGAAATGTGTATATTTTGAAAATTAAATTTTTACTCAGTAAAAGTTCAATAAATAAATAGAATTTTAAAAAGTGAAACAGAAATGAATTAAAAAGACCAAAAAGCTTGACAGTTACCTTACTTGACTCGGTTTACACCCTTCCATTAATTGTGTAATCCGGTGGTTTTAGATTGCTGTGGCCTCCAGTCACCCACTGATCCCAACCAGCTGTCATGCTGTTGGTCTGCGCAAAGGAACCCCAGAAGTGTGAAGAGGACCCCGTGGAAGGCCCAGTTCACACACAGTTAAGAACTGGCAGGAGCCTCTGAGATATCACCAGGTCTTTGGGAGGCCGTGTAATGGCCCCCAACAATGTCCAGTCCCGACCCCTGGAACCTGTGAATGTGTTACCTTACATGGCAAAGAAGAATTAAGTTTTCAGATGGAATTAGGTTACTAAAGTAGATGAGCTTGGGTTATCCAGGTGGGGCCAATCACAAGGATC